GACCAGGGCCATATGTTCAAATATTTTCCCAGGTTTTTTCGCATATTTTTCCACGTGTTTCCCATAAGTTTTCCATTGTTTCCCATATGTTTCCCATATTTTTCATATTGTTCCTTAAGTACTTTCCCTGTTTTCCTATAATTTTCCCATAGGTTTCCAATATTTTCCATATGTTTTCTGAAGTATGTCCGGTGTTTTTCTTATATTTTCCCCCAGTTTCCCATCTTTTCCCATAATCTTCATACATTGTTCATCTGGTCGTTCCCCTTTGTCGCCACGCGGTGCACCAGGTCTTAGCTCCTTTGAAGGACTTTGCCCTCAGCGAAGCGGACCCTGAGATCGGACCTCGACAGTGGCATGCCTTGGCCATATGGGGACCCCTCAGACATCAGTGGATATCATGGGAACATCATGGAAATCCATATTTATCATATTTATATAAAATAGATACAAGGTGGTGCCCCCCAAGTTATAAGTTGGTTTATAATCCCATTAACTATAGATACATCTACTGTAAGTCCTACTCATTAGAGTTATAAACCAACTTAGCTATCTTGGGGGCACCACCTTGTATATCCTCAGTGGAATATGATGAATATCCATGGAACATATTTATATATATAATATAGTATAGATGGGAAGATAATTGGGACTCCTAGACTCCGAAATATACAGTATCCCCGTGCACATTTCCACTACAGAATGGGTGCAGCCACGTGCTGTTTCACAGGCCATTACAAAATGGTTGCCTTGACGTCAGGGGGTACATAGATGTAAACGGGCAGGAGGATCTAAATGCCCTAAATATCCCTAAATGGGGTATAAAAGTCAGTGGAGATAATGGGAATCTCATGTTTTTTTTTACCACCAATTTCGGATTTCGGGATGCAGAATATTGGAGATTTCGGAAAACCTGGAGAAACTTGGTTGAAATTAGTTGAAAAACACCCATGACTGGGAATGGTTTTATCCCACCTATAAAAATGGTGATGACTGGATGGTGCAGATGGCATTGTTTTAGCCACATTCATTGGTTGAATTTGGTTGAAATACCCTCTGGTAAACTGTCACATAACGATGGAAAATTACCATTTTTAATGGGAAAACTCACTATAAATGGCCATTTTCAATAGCTCGTTAGTTTACCAGAGGGTAAACCGAACCTAATCCTTTTGCCAGTTGTCCACTTGAAACGCCTGGCCTTGGACGAGGCCGCTACGCGACGTCGAAAAGCAGCTCTTACCCCTCTTAGTCACCTGACAGCAGGTGCAACCCACTCTCCAGGATCCAAGAGAATTTAAGATCCTTCATGATCATTTGATGTTGTTTCCATTTGTTTCCCTTCCAAAAAATTGTTGGAGTCCCAGTACTCCATGGATGAAGATACAAAATCCAGTGCCAATCTCAGTGGGATTTAACTTTCAGGATGTGTGCAATTCTTGCAGAGTGTTTTCAGCCGCAAGTATTGACTAAAGATGCATGGGTGTCAACCGCAAACAATGATGTTAAGTCGGACAGCGTTTCACCCATGGCTTTGTAACAAACATGTTGCAGGAGGCCCGCCTTCTGTTCTCAAGAGACTGGGGACTCCTCCCTGTGGGTGGTTGCCCTCCAATCACGAGACATTGCAATCAATCACTCTCCAGTGTAGGTGATTCTTCCATGAAATGGCAATGTGTCATTGCCAAATGAGAAATGTCCAAAGATTTGAGCAAATCAAGATTCAGCACGTGTTTCTTCCTATGGTTCTCCTATGGAAATCCCAGCCGCCATGAGCCTTAAATCCCAATTTTGTCCTGGGTACCATGGAATGTCCCCATTTTCCCATGGTAATTCCCGGGTTTTTCCTGTTGAAATAGCCCTTTTTAGTCCTTCATGGCGTCGGTTGAAATACTCAGGTGATTCCACGTGTCCGGCAGCGCTTGCGCTTACTGGTCCTGGCAGACACGGCGGAGAAACGAGTCGGAGAGGAGCCGCCGGAGAGTCGGGAATCAGGGATGTAGAATCCATTGAAGATCTCATTTAGATTCCACTCAATGTTAGCATGTTTTGTTTTATTCTATACCATTTAGAGTTTTACTGTTATACCATATCCATTCACATCCTATGTTTTCAAGAATTTTAAGTCAGCCGAGACATGCTGAAATAGCTAGAATTGTATATAGTTGGTGGTTTGGAACATCTTTTATTTTCCATATATTGGGAAGAATCATCCCAACCACCAACCGGATATACAGTATATTCCCATGAAATCAATAGGCTCATAATATCCTCAGCAACTATTAAAAATTTGCATGAAATATCTCCACTATGTTCCCGTTCTATCCCCATTACTATCGCAGATTGTTGGTTCATGTTGGTTCTATGAATCATATCCCCATTTGGTAGTGCCATATTATATCCAGATTCTAAAAATGAGAACAACCATGAATCAGTGGCCATTTCAGGAACCTAAATTGGAGGTGCCCACAAGTCAAAAATTCTATGTAAGGGCTACAAGTCAGGGAGATATCCCCAGTTTCTATGCTTGTCATATGGCACTCTCCATTGGATCGGTATCAAGGCCACTGAATGAAGCTGCTAAGATTGGTTCTTAAGCTATAATGATCCATGATGGATTCATTAGTACCATTAATATTTGGAGGTTTCAATGGGCCCCAAATCATCCATTTTAGATCAATTTCGTCTTTTAAGCTATGGTTTTTCGGGATCCCCCACTTTAAGAAAACCCACCATATTATGGGTAAGCATTATATATGTGTATAATATATATATATATATAATATAATATTATATATATACCCTCTGATTATTTAACATAGCCATGGAAAATCACCATTTTTAATAGGTAAACCATCTATAAATGGGCCATCTATACCATGGCTATGTTAAATTACCATAGGCCTGGACCTTCCAAAGTACAGAAAATTCTGTACGATTGGGATTTCTGCACTTTTGGGCCGATTGAAACGTTTAATCTTAAATGTAAACGGTTTCAGCAAAAAGTGAACTCTTTGCAGCAGTTCTGACTGCGGTTAAAATATCTTGCCGCAATGGGTCCCTCACAATTCACCGATTGGAATTGCTGGTGATAATGTCCATGCTTTCCTAAATTTGCAGAGTTTGTGTTGGTGATTGGAGCCCCCAAAGATTCAAAGCCTCAAACATGCAGGAATACTAGGCTATATTTGAAAATAGTTAGTTTGAAGCATGCTTAGTTTGCAGAAATATCAGTTTTCATTCCAACAAGCTGCGATTTGATGCGATTTGTCACATGCATGAACCGCAGCAGTAATTAAGAAATCCCGATTTGCGTACTTTTGCGGATATTTGCGTATTTTTGCGGGAAATTTGCGTACTTTTTGCGAGAAAACTGTCGACATTTTTGTTGAATTCAGAGCCGTTTTGGAATTTCCTGCGGGCATTTCTTCCAAAAAAACATGGGCGCTCTGTTTTTTTTACAAATTCAGAAAAAACCAGTTTGTTTCAACGTCTATAGTCTATAGCGGTCTGGTGTCTCCCATCCAGCAAAGATTGCTTTTAGCGTCGCACCCAAGCCTTCTTTGAGCGCTTTAGTTGTTTTGTCATATTCTTCACCAATCTTCACCAACCGGGAGATTATTAGATTTGTTTTTCTTGCCGTCTGCTAAGCAGGTCCACTTTGTTTGTCAACATGCAGAAACTCCCATCTAGCATGCCAAGATACGTCAAGTCAGCTTCATTCTTGCAATTTCATGTTGTTCTAGTGTGTTTCTGAACGATTGGTCCAATTTGAACTATTTGCGGCATTTGCGGTTTTTTGCGGTCATTTGCGGCCAAAAGCCCAAAAGTACAGAAATTATTGAACGTTGGAAGGTCTAGGGGGTATATATTAAAATCATCGATGATAATAACCTTCTATGGTTCATCCCGCGGCCGGCCAGGCCCTCGATCAGCTCCAGCTGTTACGGAGGGCCTGCTACGAGATCCAGGAAAGGGTTGATGCCATGCATGGTTTGTTTGAAATGATAAAACAAACAAGCAAATTCCATTGTCTAAGAAACACGTAAAGTTTGAAAAATGTTATTTTGGGTATTCCCAGATTTTTGTACAAACCCATATGCTGCAACAGAACTCGTTTACATGCTGTTTCTGCCATTGGTCTATTGTTGAAGGATACATGATGATGATGATGATGATGATGATGATGATGACGATGACGACGACGACGACGACGAGGAGGAGGAGGAGGAGAGATCCTGATATTTAGTATATAATCAAGTATTAGTCATGGAACCATGTCAGAGATTTGCCTAAGACAATCCAATTCATTTCTTCGTTGATTATGGAAATGATTGTGGACATGATCTTCATGGGGAAGTCCCTAATATATATATATATATGTATATATATATATGCATATACGAGTGTATATATATTTATAGATAGATATAGATATCATCCCTGAAATAAAGGCAGGCGTTTGTTGATGATGAAGACATCTGCCACCATGATGCCATGGGCAGCCCAGCCCAGAACTCTTCGCTGCTGCGGGAGCTGTTGGCCATCATCGTGTTGTGACTTGGCTCAGAAGGGAAGATTCATGGATAGATCACAATTTTTCATGGGTAAATCAACTATCAGTGGTTAATATACAATGGTTGATTTGGGTTACTATGGCCAGAAAAAAGGGAACTGATCTATTACTTCTGTTAGTTTTATTGGATAGATAGGGAACTTATATATATATATGTATGATACCCTCTGGTAAACTAACATACCTATGAAAAATCACCATTTTATAGTTTGCTAAATCAACGAACTAAATGGCAATGTTCAATAGCTATTGATATAATAATGTGGGTAAAACAATGCCATTTGCAGCATTTTTAGAGGTAGTAGTTATGCTTACCATGCCCAGTCAGAGTATCCATGCTTCATTGGATGGTATATCATTATATCGTATTATATCGTTGGCTCAGGTTGGATCGAAATTTCACCTAAGACTTAAGCGACCGCAGATTTGGTCATTTTTTATTGTGAACCATCCAAGTACCATTTGGTTATGACTAACATAGCCATGGTATAGATGGCCCATAGAAATAGATGGTTTACCTATTAAACATGGCCATTTTCCATGGCAAACTGTTAGTCATAACCAGATGGTAACCAACGGTTCAGTTTTAGGGGCATGCCACGACTTGACTGATCTAGGCTGTTCAACTATGTGAACTTTGGAGCAGCCCCTGAGAAGGCGCACGGACTGAGGGGGGTTGTTTGGTGCCATAGGGTGCCCCTAAATCCATGAGGTGATCATTAATTCCCTTATTAAATCTGATTAAACATGTTTTTTCTATGTTGGGGTTTACCGGTTTAGCAGTTTACCTGATTTTGAAACACATCCAGATTTGTTCCATATACATAGAACCAATGATTCTAGGGCCATCCAGTTTTTTTGAACCTCTCCATGTTTGTCGGGGACTAGAATTTCATGATGAAACATGTTGGTTGTTGTTGAAATCTCTAGCCATCTCCAACGTCAAGCAGGAATCTTGGCATATTCCAAGAATTCTCCAGCAACTTGGTGATGCAATCGATCGTTTTTACCGGAAATCATAGGTTTGAAGCGGAAGAAACACAGGAATTCAACCAGCTTGAGCACCGTGAACGCAGTCTAAGCCAGGCTCAAGTCACCAGTTCCCTGAAGGGGGTGGACGTGCCAAGTCGGGGCCTTGATTTTGTGATTTTCAGATGTCTTTGTCTACTGAAGGTTTGCATGAGTAGTATATTACATATATATGGTTGGTGGTTTCAAAGATTTTTTTTTCCCAAAATACATGGGATAATCCTTCCCATTGACTAATAACTAATATTTTTCAGAGGGGTTGAAACCACCAACCAGATATATATATATATATATTACTCATATACTGTAATATGTGTGTTGATTGTGTACATATGATTTAGATAATTCCTTCCAACAAAAATGAAGCATGCTGGAACGTAGCAACTGGTCCAATGACCCACTTAAGTCCTTAGAAATCGCCGTTGATGGTAAAATATTCTTGACCATGGACTGGACTAAGTAGAAGAGACCAGTGGTTCCTGATTCTACCGAGGAAATGTTTGCTGTTTGAACCGCTCCTTCAATTCAAGGGCTTGGAAGCATTTTCTGATCATTCCTCACTGTTGATTATAGAATATCCAGAGTGTTTTGAGGAGTGTTTATACTATCAAGTACGATCCAAATGTTGGATTTTTCTGGGATTCCCTATCAGTTTTCCAGTCACTCGATGTCCTGGATTTTCGCCTAGGCTTGCTGCGCTTGCGCGAGACCAAAGCGTCCGAAAAGCCAGTCCGAGAAATCTGCGGGGCTATTCACAGCAACTTCAGAATCAGATTCAAGACAGCATCCAATCCCATCCTGATGATTAGGGGTTCCAATATGTTCCAATCACATCCGAAAACCATGGCAATTATTAGCCTTAACATGCCATCCTCATGATTGGATGCCCAGGGAAGGTACAATGATGCAGAAATTTGAAACGGCGGTATATGGGTATGGGTCAATATCTATAGATACATTTTTAGAGGGATGAACACCCATTTACCAGCTATTTTTATGTTCACCAGCGGTACAGGGTTTTGACACACTGCCATATAACTTTAGCTTTTCTATCTCTTGTGTGGGATTCCAGAGTTTTGAACCATTGCATCATGTTTTTCGCTGGGAAAATCCACCGGCTTAGAGATTGGCTCCAGCCAGGTTTCATGTTTCATTCCTTTCCAAAGGGTGTGGGTGAAAACCACAAACTCTCCGCAAGATGTTGTTTTTTAATGTTTTTTACCAAGGTTTCATCGTTGGTTTTGTCTTGTTCAATGGACGTTTTATGTTTTTTGTTGAAGCCCTCAATATCTCCTCAACATGGTGGTTTTACCAACCACCCCCCAGCCAATTCCTATGCTTTGAGAGGAGTCAGAGGAGTCACTTTTACAGCCTCCTTACAGCTTGGCCAAGATTGGTGCTCAAAACTTATGCATAGCGATGGTTGAATTCAGCCCCAAATTCAAGTTGGATTCGTCGGGAAACAGATGAAACTAGAAGACATCCCAAAATCCAGTGGTTTATCATACCATATCATACCATTATTATACATGTGCTGTTCTATAAATGAGGATATGATAGGATGTGCACCAACCAGCCTGACCATTTTTTTAATTTGCCGTCAGGTCCAAAGGCGATTTTCCCGGTTTCCACATGCTGTATCTTGGCGCAGGACGACTGGAATGGTGGGATGATGGCTTGGAGAGACCATCAACAAAATGGCCATGTGTATCCACATGAAACTAACATAGACAACGTACGAACTGAACATGTCACCCTTTGGTAATCATGGCAATCTAATCTAGGAATGAGAAACGCAGAGTTCGCGACATTTTTTTCGCATTTCTCCAAGGCATTTTGTGGTGAAACAGCTCTTGAAACAGAGAGCGTCCTGGAAGAAGGAGAAGGTCGACGAGGAGACACCGCGATGGGACAACTGGATCAGCGGAGTGGCGGCGATGGCTGACCTGGAAACACAAGTCAGTAGGCTTCTTTTTGATGGAATTCAATGGGAATCAAATGGGATTTTAACGGGATTTAACGGGATGATAGTCCACTTAATGATAGATCTAATGGGATATACCCAGGTTTCTGATGGTTTCTGTAAAAAATGGTTTTTGATTGATTTTCCGATTGAACTAGAGCGGTTTTTTTCTCGCATTCACAGACCCAGTCATCCTTCAACCATCCTTCAAACCATCCACATCGCAGCCGCCGAATCAAAGCCCGTGGCGACCATGGCGGCGCAAGGTGAGAGTCCCATGGAGGCCCGTCTGGAAACGATTCAACCTATACCCTCTGGTAAACGTTTACATAACTATATGGAAAGATCCATCATTTTTAGTGGGTAAATCAACGAACTAAATGACTATGTTCAACAGCTATGTCAAATTACCAGAGGTTAACAGCATTTAGTGCCAACGCCTGGATAAAAGAGATCTGTTTCAGAGATCGAAACATCGAAATCTGTCTAACAACGGGATTTCATTTAGACTAGACCAAGAGATCAAATTGTTTTTTTTCCAAAGAAATCATCACAGATAGATCACGGATAGATCGGAATCCTGTTTCACCTCTCTTTCACCCAACGAAATCATGGAAAAGTTGCCGTGCGTTTTTGCATGCTTTTGCATGCTTTTGCATGCTTGCATGTGCGTGTGTTTAGCCTGTTGAGCCTTTTTATCAATTTCCTCCCTGAATGGTTCACAGCATTTCCTTTTCAGGTTCGATCTTCGATGGCGCTCCACGAGGTCGAGCGCATCTTGCGCATGAGTGACCGATCCAAGGGATGGATCCGGTGGTGGTTCCAATCTTTGGCCCGGCCGAGGATTCCCACGATTCATGGATGAAACTGGAAAATCATCAGCCCAGGATTTGGGGAGACGGTGAAAAGTCATGAAAAGTCTGACCTCTAAAACAAAGTATTATGTGGACCCCACTGGCACATCGAATCGCAAACCCCAGAAGTCAAGATATATCGTTGAACTCCAGTGATGAATTCAAAGTTGGGTGCTCTCTCTCTCTCTCTCTCTCTCAACGCTATATGCTATATGGGGCACCTCTCAATTGGGTGATGGATGACCATTTTAGATGTCACTCTACCATTGCAAGAATTGAATGAACGGGACATCTTCAGAAAACAAATTTTAGGGAAAGCCCGAAAGCCCGTCGTTCCCTGCATTTCCCTGCTTTCCTGCTGCAGATTCACTCATTTTGATTCGACCAATTTGAATGTTTTGGAATTTGTCTCCAGATCCCTTCAGTGTTCAGGTATGGAGGGGCTGTCGATTGGCCTCATTGCGAAGCTGGTGCAGATGAACAGCAGCGACATTCACAGGACACAGAGATTTGCTTCTCTTGGGGATGGGCGGAAGATTTGGAATGGAGGGGCCATCAAGCGGTGAATTTGTGCAGATTTTGAAGTGGAAAAGTGGAAAATGGAACTTTGAAGTGATTTTCGTCCCAGAAGACTCGCTGATTTTGCCCCAGATCCTCATCATGAAAAAGATCGACACCTTAACTTGCAGATGTTGGTGATGTTCACGCTGAAAAATCTAGTTTAAGCATGTTTTAGCACTACGTGACAATGACCATTTAATTCTTGGGATACTGATGCCTCGGCCTCGATCTATGAATGATCCTGACTCATCGTGTCCACCTTGGATATACATGATGTACACACACACCCTGACTAGTTTAACGGCATTCACAACCCCTTTGAAAATTGCTATGATTGCAATTGCAATTGACCACTTTTCAGGATGATTGCCCAGTTGCTGTACTCAACCGGGATTGGGACTTTCTCCGGGCTTGTCACAGTTGCTGCCATCCCGTTGTGAGTCGTCACCTCTTCCAGCCCGTCTCGTTAGGATCTTAGAAGATGCTTGGGTGCGAGGTGCCCAGGACGGGACTGTGGAATCACCTGGAAGGGATCCTCAGCTTATGTCAACCCAGGAATATAGCATGGTTTATTATAATTAGGGGTCCCCCAACGGTCATAATAATAATAATAATAATAATCTAAGGGCTGCCGCCCCTGCCGCCGACCCCGGAACAAGCAACCGAGGTTGTGTCAGCATGTCAGTTTGTCTGTATTTCTTGAGACATTCTATGAAACACTTCATGCACCGCTGGTTCCTTCATGTTGATTTGAGCCACTTTTTCCTCCTTCTGCTGCTGCTGCTTCTGCTCCTGCTGCTCCTGTTCAAACGGAGTACAGTAGAAGCATGTGATTTTCGCTACTATTTCCTCCTGCTGCTGCTGCTGTTCAAAAAGACAGCACCCGGATGGAAAAAAAACCTATAGCAGTGAAGGACGAAGAAGCCCCAAAATTGCACCCCAAAAATGCCTAACGTAACTTCTGAAACCCATAGAAAACGATGATTTGAGCCACTTTTTCCTCCTTCTGCTGCTGCTGCTTCTGCTCCTGCTGCTCCTTCTGTTCAAACGGAGTATAGTAGAAGCATGTGATTTTCGCTACTATTTCCTCCTGCTGCTGCTGCTGCTGTTCAAAAGACAGCCCCCGGATGGAAAAAAACCCTATAGCAGTGAAGGACGAAGAAGCCCCAAAATTGCACCCCAAAAATGCCTAACGTAACTTCTGAAACCCATAGAAAATGATGATTTTGGCTTTTTTTTCTTCTTGTTCCTGCTATGAATTTTGGCTACCTTTTCCTCCTGCTGCTGCAGAGGCTTTTGCTGCTGCTGCTGCTGGTCCCCGGATGGGAAAACACCATGGCAGTGAAGGACGGAGAAGCCCCAAAATTGCACCCCGAAAATGCCTAACGTAACTTCTGAAACCCATAGAAAATGATGATTTTGGCTGCTTTTTCCTCTTGCTGCTGCTATGAATTTTGGCTACCTTTTCCTCCTGCTGCTGCAGAGGCTTTTGCTGCTGCTGCTGGTCCCCGGATGGGAAAACACCATGGCAGTGAAGGACGGAGAAGCCCCAAAATTGCACCCCGAAAATGCCTAACGTAACTTCTGAAACCCACAGAAAATGATGATTTTGGCTACTTTTTCCTCTTGCTGCTGCTATGAATTTTGGCTACCTTTTCCTCGTGCTGCTGCAGAGGCTTTTGCTGGCCCCCGATGGGAAAACGCCATGGCAGGCCGCTTTTTCCTCTTGCTGCTGCTATGGATTTTGGCTACCTTGTCCTCCTGCTGCTGCAGAAGCTTTTGCTGCTGCTGCTGCTGCTGTCCCCGGATGGGAAAACACCATGGCAGTGAAGGACGGAGAAGCCCCAAAATTGCACCCCGAAAATGCCTAACGTAACTTCTGAAACCCATAGAAAATGATGATTTTGGCACCTTTTTCCTCTTGCTGCTGCTATGAATTTTGGCTACCTTGTCCTCCTGCTGCTGCAGAAGCTTTTGCTGCTGCTGCGCCCGGATGGGAAAACACCATGGTAGTGAAGGACGGAGAAGCCCTAAAATTGCACCCCGAAAATGCCTAACGTGACTTCTGAAACCCATAGAAAATGATAATTTTGGCCGCTTTTTCCTCTTGCTGCTGCTATGAATTTTGGCTACCTTTTCCTCCTGCTGCAGAGGTTTTTGCTGCTGCTGCTGCTGGTCCTCGGGTGGGAAAACATCATGGCAGTGAAGGACGGAGAAGCCCCAAAATTGCACCCCGAAAATGCCTAACGTAACTTCTGCAACCCATAGAAAATGATGATTTTGGCACCTTTTTCCTCTTGCTGCTGCTATGAATTTTGGCTACCTTGTCCTCCTGCTGCTGCAGAGGTCCCCGGATGGGAAAACACCATCGCAGTGAAGGACAGAGAAGCTCCAAAATTGCACCCCGAAAATCCCTAACGTAACTTCTGAAACCCATAGAAAATGATGATTTTGGCTACTTTTTCCTCTTGCTGCTGCTATGAATTTTGGCTACCTTTTCCTCCTGCTGCTGCAGAAGCTTTTGCTGCTGCTGCTGCTGGTCCCCGGATGGGAAAACACCATGGCAGTGAAGGACGGAGAAGCCCCAAAATTGCACCCCGAAAATGCCTAACGTAACTTCTGAAACCCATAGAAAATGATGATTTTGGCACCTTTTTCCTCTTGCTGCTGCTATGAATTTTGGCTACCTTTTCCTCCTGCTGCTGCAGAAGCTTTTGCTGCTGCTGCTGCTGGTCCCCGGATGGGAAAACACCATGGCAGTGAAGGACAGAGAAGCTCCAAAATTACACCCCGAAAATGCCTAACGTAACTTCTGAAACCCATAGAAAATGATGATTTTGGCTACCTTTTCCTCCTGCTGCTGCAGAGGCTTTTGCTGCTGCTGCTGCTGGTCCCCGGATGGGAAAACACCATGGCAGTGAAGGACGGAGAAGCCCCAAAATTGCACCCCAAAATGCCCAATGTAATTTCTGAAACCTATAGAAAAAAATGATTTTGGCTGCTTTTTCCTCTTGCTGCTGCTATGAATTTTGGCTTTTGCTGCTGCTGGTCCCCGTTTGAAACCCATAGAAAACGATGATTTGAGCCACTTTCTTCCTTCTGCTGCTGCTGCTGCTTTTTCTCCTGCTGCTCCTTCTGTTCAAACGGAGTATAGTAGAAGCACGTGATTTTCGCTACTATTTCCTCCTGCTGCTGCTGCTGCTGCTGCTCAAAAGACAGCCCCCGGATGGAAAAAAATCCTATAGCAGTGAAGGACGAAGAAGCCCCAAAATTGCACCCCAAAAATGCTTAACACAACTTCTGACACCCATAGAAAATGATGATTTTGGCTGCTTTTTCTTCTTGCTGTTGCGATGAATTTTGGCTACCTTTTCCTCCTGCTGCTGCAGAGGCTTTTGCTGCTGCCGCTGGTCCCCGGATGGGAAAACACCATGGCAGTGAAGGACGGAGAAGCCCCAAAATTGCACCCCGAAAATGCCTAACGTAACTTCTGAAACCCACAGAAAATGATGATTTT